TTTTTTTTTTTTTTCTCCCTCCCATACTTGTAGCAGAAAATGATCAGTACTCTTTAAATCATTGTGTTTTTTCTTAAAAAGAAAATGCCAAGAAAACTCCGCTTGTATTTTTAGATCTTACTGGGTAGAATGGGAATTGAGACCTCCTGTTCCAAGCGCAGACCACATCGCCCGATGCTGTCGGTCTTTAACTGCAGAGGCCCAACATGCAAACCACCACCCTGGACGCCCCTTTGTCTTCTCTCAAGGTACAGCACACATTCCTGGAGGCCACCAGAAAACAAACTTTATTCGCTTCTGGAAGCATCTCCTGCTATTTTAAATATGAACTTACAAACTCTTGATTTCTTTGGACTCTGCTTGAGCTAAAAATTAAGGAAACAAGATGTTCTCCCACAGAATGAGAAAAAAAAAACAAAAAAAACATGGCAGGAGACCCACAGCAAAAAAATAAACCGGAGCTGTTATGTGGGGTAGCACCGAAAATAGCCGATGGCTCGGTGACAGACCGGGTGGAACAGCCGCCACCAGGCACGTTGCCCGAGCGCGGAGAGCGGCCGCTCCGGCCTCCAGCTCTCACCTCGTTTGGGAACTCGTGACGATAAGGGGGGAAAGGCAACAGCCCTCGAGGGGGTCAGTCACACAGCCAAAGGGCCAGGGATGAGAGAGAGAGAGGAACCAGCAAGAGGAAAACATCCCTCCTGGAGAGCGGGTCACTAAGGAGCCACCTCCAGCCGGGCTGCCCCGCTCCCTGCTCGCCCCGCGCAGAGGTAGGTGCCTCCCGGTACCAGCTACAGCTGGGGCTGGAGACGCTGAGAAACGCTGAGAAACAATCGCTCTCCTGGGCTGTAAGTGATGTTCTAACAAGCCTTCAAACGTTACACCAGATGTCCCCATCTGGGACGCTGGAAAAAATGAGATCCTTTTATCTTCTCGAGGAGGAAGGAGATGATGACTCTAAAATAAATTGTCCAGTCGAGCATCTTCGGAATGGGATCTCTAGCCGGCTAACAAGCTGGGCAGGGCTGAATCTGCTCGGTAATTAGAGAAGCCCTTTTAAACTAAGTGGTTACTAGAACAGGCAACCCATATTTGAGCACTTTTCTCTGCAGGGAGTGGAGCCGAGCTGCTCCCGGGCGAGCAGCGTGCTGCTGACGGGGTGGGCACCCGGCACAGGCAGGCTGCAACGGCCCAGGCCCCTCTCAGAACCTCTCAGGGGAGGCGTTAACTCATCGCCTGGTTAAAGGCTGCCTAGGAATTGCACCCCCTTTCCCGTCCAAGGCCCTTCCCTTCCACGCAGTGCGGGAGAACAGCGGTGAAGAGTGAAATAGCTTTAATAACCCAACCCCTTCAGGCACAGAGCGCTGCCGAGCGAAGGCGTCTGGGCTAGATATCAGCCTGTTACAACCCTGGCTCTTTTGTAGCTGTAACGATCGCTCTCAATGTTCCTCCGGAAGGGACTGGCTGACTGAAGTTAATTTGCAAAACTTTCTTACATCTCTCAGCCCTGCCAAAGCCTCCCACAGAATCAGCTGCAAGGGGCTGCCAGGATCTCTCGCAGATGTACCAGGGCACAAGCCCACGGTGACAAAGGCTGTCTGTGTGGAGCTGCTCAACCTTAATGCATTAGGATGCACCACAGGAGCGCTGCCTTTCCTCCCGGGGCCGTCCCTCCCGGTGGCTCCTCTCCCAGGGCAGACGGAGGGAGCAGAGGCATTTCTTTCAGCGCCAGCGTTTGCGTGCCAGGAAGCTGAGAAGCATTACTGGCCCTCTGTGTATTCGAGACCCTTGGCTTCAGAGAGCGCAGAGGATCCCTTCTTCCCGGGAGACGCTCCAAGGTGGAGGGGACTCTCTGTACTTGGGGGAAGCGGCACACAAAGGCGTGTTGTGAGGGGGCAGGGAGAGGCAACGCGGGCAGCTGGGCTGGGAGCGGTGGGGACAAGTCCGACACTACCTGGGAGCTCCCCCTTCCCTCCAGCACCACGGGCGCAGCCTCCGAGACCACGGAACTTCTTGATCTTTTCAGTTTCTAGCAGATATAACTTGCCAGAAGCCAAGACGTGCGGCCCGGCAGCAGCACCCTGGGCACTGCGAGGATGGAGGAAACCCATCTGTCAACAGCACGGCCGGCGAGGGAGCCGTGCGTTTCTTCAGCTCTTTTACCAAGGGCAATGCCAGCCAACTCCCTCCTCCCCCTGAGAAACAAGGCAAATCGTGTAAAAGACAACTTTTCCCGTCACTTTACATGCCGACAGAGAGGACTGGCACCCGACCACCTCCTCCTACCCCCCCAGGTCGGTCAGAATCAGAAGAGAGGTCACAAGCAGAGGCCAACCCTGGCGCCAGCGCAGAGGCGACGATCTCCGAGGAAGAGGGCTGGCAGGCTCTGCCAAAAACCCACACATGAATCTTGCAGATGTTTTTATTTTCTTGACCACTTGGAAACCTCGCGCGCTGTTTCCTCTCTGCTCTGCCATAAACGCGCGCACAGCTCGGATCCAGGCAGCCCGAGCTCCATGCCAGGCTCTCCGCTGGCAGAACCCGATGTCCTCGGCAGCACACTGGGTGGGGAAGCTCGCGGCTTTCGTGCCGAGACCAATAATTTACACCAGACACCCGCTACGCCAGCTCCCGAAAACTTGGGTTTTGATCAGTCAGTGCTGCATCTCCTCCCCTGCCCTGCAGAGTCAAAACAATTCTGCGCCTATTAACTTCACTGTCAAGAGCAGAATTAAACCCTCGCGTTCCCCTGGGGACATGGGGCGGGCGGCGGGGGGGGAAAGACTGACATAGGAAAACAACACAAATTGAAAACTACATCAAGAAACCGTTTGCTACTCCAACAATATCAGTATGAAAGTTGTAAATTAAAGGGGTCAAAGTAAAACGGCCGTGAGAAAAGAAAAAGCAAGCCCCAGAGCTGAAAATTCTCACCGAGGCCGGGGTAGGTCCTGCGCTTGCTGAGATTGGCCGATTTCACCAGGAACATGCAGGATTGATGAGTCATCCAAGAACAGAAAATCAGCAGCAGAGCTCCCAGGACAATGCCACACTGAAACGGGAGAAAAGCAGGGAAAAGACGAGCGGGAGATGGGAAGTCAGCGGCGGCGCCCAGCCCTCCTGCCGCCCCCCCTCGCCTTTAGGCTCCTTTGCATAACCCCAGCCCCACTTTTGCCTCTTAAGGGGAAGGTCCCTCCAGCGTAGCTCGCAGAAACATGACGCAGAGCTCAGTTTTGCTCTCTCTACAGCCCAAGGACAAGGCGGAGCAGCCACCTGTTTCCCACAGCTTCCAGCTGCACCAGTTTAAGCACAGGAGAGTGAACTGGGAGCTGTTTGTGCAGCAGAATTTCCACAGCTCCCCTCACTCATCCCCCCGCCCCGTGCTCTCCGCAGGTTCTCACAGAGCAAAGACCAGTCCTAATCCCAAGGTGCAAACCCTCTTGTAAACTTATTAAATAACAATTATTTGATAACATAAACTAACTACCAAGCTCACTCCCAGCGCCGCGCTTCGCATGTTTGCAGCGGGGGATGTTAAACACTGGACGCTTTTTATGCAGGTGGCTTTAAACAGGCACGAGTGGTGCCAGATCTTAACCCCAGCTGCCCTTTTTTCTGCTGTGTTTAAATCTGGTGCGGCCGTAGGGATGGTGGCAGGTCCTGGAGAGGGGGAGCGGGGGCACAGCTCAACAGCTGCTTTGCAGACGCCTCCGAGCCAACCCGCATTTATCATATAGATCAATTTTTTCAAATTTGTTTTCCCCTTCTACTCACAAGAAAGTCAGGAACTGTTACCTGCAAACCTCACAACAAGGAAAACCACATAGTTTGGTAGAAGAGGCATCCAATCTCCACCTTCAAGCGCTTCCCTCGCTGACCATCCTCTCCCAACCACCACAGAACACCGACCCACCTGCCCCCACGTTAGGGCC